TTTTTTTGACTAAAAAATATTTTCGTTGACTAGAAAGTGTTTTCTGTTAACCAGAAAGTGTTTTTTATTGACCGGAAAATGTTTTTTGTTGACCAACTTTTTTAATGACAAACAAACATAGAAAAATTTAAAAAGTGATTTCTTAAAAATTATTTTACAAGAAACAAACATGGTTTCAGTTATTTTGATAATTATAATGTTAAAGAACATCCTATGATATAGGATTGAGTGTTTAAGTTGTTTTTTCTTTCTTTCTTGTGTTAATGCCGCATTCCAGATAAGGAAAAGTCAGATTTGACCTCCCAAACTCTATTGTTAGAAACTCTTGATTGAGGCCCATCTCATGTACAAGAAAAGTCAAAAAGTTAGTGTATTATACCAGCGACAATTCCCAATTTTTTCTGACTCATGGCTGCGTTTAAAATAGAGGTGAAGGACATTCATACTCGAGGCATTACAGCCAGTTTTTCTAGATAAAAAACTCTCATGGCTCTCTATGCTGTTCCTTTGTGGCTCCCTTTTATCCTACTTCTGCCTCTACTGCTTTTGTTTATGAAAAGGATGAAAGATGCGAGACAAAGGGAGCAGCTTCTTCCCCCAGGCCCTCCTAAGCTTCCAATTTTAGGCAATTTGCACCAGCTTAGTTCACTGCCTCACCAATCTATGTGGCATCTCTCCAAGAAATACGGCCCTGTCATGCTCCTTCGACTTGGTCAAATACCAACTGTTGTAATCTCCTCCGCTGAGGCAGCAAGGGAGGTGTTAAAAAAGTTCATAATCTTGCCTTTTGCAGTAGACCTTTGTTATCTGGCGCTGGCAGACTCACGTACAATTATCTAGACATTGCATTTTCACCATACAGTGATCACTGGAGAAATATGAGAAAAATTGTTACTTTGGAGCTCTTCAGCTTGAAAAGGGTGCAGTCTTTCCAATTCATCAGGGAAGAGGAAGTTGGCTTTCTGGTCAATTCTCTCTCCGAGTCATCAGCTCTAGCAGCACCAGTTGATCTTACTCAGAAGGCATATGCTCTGATTGCGAATATAACATTCAGGGTGGCTTATGGGTTCGATTATCGAGGGACTAGCTTTGATCGAGATAGATTCCATGAAGTGGTTCATGACACCGAGGCTGTGGTGGGAAGCATCTCAGCAGATGAATACATCCCATATCTAGGTGGATTGTAGACTGGCTTACTGGTCACCGTGCAAGGATGGAAAGAGTTTTCCACGAGTTAGATACTTTCTTCCAGCATGTAATTGATAATCATCTTAAACCTCGAAGGATAAAGGATGAGGATGAAATGATAGATGTTCTGCTGAGAATGAAGAAGGAACAAACTGAGCTGGGTGCATCTCAGTTTACGAGGGATAATATTAAGGCAATCCTCCTGGTATGCAGATCATCATATATTAAATGAAATCCTCTTTTTATTGTATATGCAGTGCCTGTCATTTCATTGCTGCTAGCATATTTCAGAATTTGCTACCAGGCTTATAGGCAGCACAAGGCACTACTGGGCTTTGCTTGTCTGAAACAGGAATCTATTCATCTAGTGAAATGGTCTAGCTGATAAGCCTCAAAATCAGATAGTTTCATGTGTTATTACAATGATGAAATTGATATCATAAGAATGCAATCTAACATACCTGAATTTTAATCATAAAAAATTGTTGTATGTGCTTTGTGCCCTTGTGTTGATGTTGCGTGGCATGAAAGGCGTCCCCTTTACAAAAAAAATAAAAATTCCTTTTAATATAATCTAAAAATAAGTTGTTGTGCTTAATATATTTGCATGATTCTTGGGATTCATCTCTCTGTGAGAGTATGGGGATAGCATGAGCAACATGCTAATGAAGCAGATTGCTGTCCAGCAGCATCATGCGATGAAATTGTTGTTATAAACTAAAGCTATAAACAAATATTTGCTTCCTGTTATTATGAAATTAATAATCGCCTACTTTTCTCTATAGTTCCAACATATTAACTGTCTACTTGGATTCTGATGTTTGTCTGTCAGAATTTATTTTTGGGCGGAGACACTAGTTCACTTACGGTGAATTGGGCAATGGCAGAACTTGTCAGGAATCCAAGAGTAATGAAGAAAGTGCAGGATGAAGTGAGGAAATGTGTTGGTAAGAAAGGAAGAGTTACTGAAGGGGATGTCGATCAATTTGAGTATCTCAGGATGGTGATAAAAGAAACTCTGACACTGCACCCTCCTGCTCCTCTACTTCTCCCAAGAGAAACAATGTCTCACTGTATAGTCAGTGGCTAAATACCTATCCGAAGACGCTGGTCCATGTTAATGTCTGGGCAATTGGACGTGACCCCAAGTACTGGAGGGATCCTGAAGAGTTTTTTCCTGAACGATTTCTGGACAGCTCCTGCGACTTCAATGGACAAAGTTTTGAGCATTTGCCATTTGGATCTGGTCGAAGAATTTGTCCTGGAATTCATATGGGATCTATAACAGTAGAGATTATACTTTTAAATCTCTTGCATTGTTTTGATTGGATCTTGCCCCATGGGATGCAGAAGGAAGATATCAACATGGAAGAGAAAGATGGTGTAAGCCTTGCTCCATCTAAGAAGACACCTGTAATCCTCGTACCTGTCAACTACCTTCAGTGACTATCAGAAGATTTCATAAACTCATAAGCATTCAAATAGTTGTATGCACTAAAGAATGTATGGTCCCTGCTTTTTTTTTTTTTTTTCTGCATGTGTGTTCAAAATAAAGAACAGGGTCGAACAGGAAAGACCTCTCTAGGGGTGGAGATATGGATGCCATTTGAGCCAGGGGCATAGCATCTCATATCATCCCATTGAATCTGTAGAATTCATATGCTTTATTGTGTCAAAAGAGAGAACAGGATCATTTGACAGTGAAGATTTCACAAGACACCATTATTACACCATAACTTCGCTCTTGCCTTTCTTTACCCTTCCTAAAAAAGCCCAAATCTCTCTTTTATCATCCCGTCTCTTCACTCACCATTTTCACATCGAAGTCTTCTAAGACCATCCATGCATCTATCCTCACCTCCCTTCTCCTCAAGTCTCAAATCCATCTCAAGCGCTAGCGTCACCCTCTGCGACATCACCTAATCTCCATAATCACTCAAAATTAACACCACTCTCAGCGGCATGAATCCCAGATTATGCTCTGTTTGCTGTATACGGATAGATATGGTCAAAGATAACTAGTGGGTTTTACAATTAATAGTTTCAAGATTAATTTAAGAGTTATTTCTCTTACGAGAAGAAGAAAGTGGAATTTTTAGGTAGTGTTCGGTAACAGAGTTTTACTAACGGTTTTTTATAATTTAAAGCGTTGGTGGAGGTTTATAAAATAAATATATTTGATTGTTTTATAATTATAAATTAATTTTAAATAAATAATAAAAATTAAAAATATAATAGAATAAATATTTTA